ATAGAATTTGATCCAAATCTGAATTTGAATTCCAAATCCCAGACATGCCTTAAAGACAATATACTCCAATAGTTAATCGAATAATGAAAATGCAGGTATGTAGTGGTGCGTGGAGCAAGCGGGTTTTACTCATATGGTATATTAGAACGTTTAGAAGGGTGGCCGGATATAGATGTCTACCAAGGCCGAATTGTCTTCAAACTTGATCAACACTTGTAAGTATATAGAATTGGTAAAATTGATTAGATTTGTATAAATAGACTCCTTTCTTTTGACATTGCTTCCAAATGTCTTAATATGAAATTAGTGTGTTTGGGACACTTACAACGTTGAGTGTAAGTGTCCTAAATAACCGAGGTCATATTATGACATTTGGGGGCAAGGTTAAAAAAATTGCACCTATTTATAAAAATCTAATTGATTTAACCTTCTTAGGGAGCTTAATTGAAAGCATGTGTTGTTGATAGGTTCCAATATATGGCTGTTTCCGATGAGAGGCAAAGAATAATGCCAACTGCCCAAGACCGAGAAGAGGGTAAAGTACTTGACTACCCCGAAGCTGTTCTTTTGATCAATCCAAACAACTCTTACTTGAGAGGAGAGGTAAAAACAACAATGACCATATATATTTTGTGACACTTTTATTTTTTACTTATTGAATATGAAATGTTAAAGGCCTGTTTGGTGAGTGAAGCTAGATACAATATGAGTAATGAAATCTGAAAAAATGATATGAGTTCTAGAATTTGAAATTATGAAATCGGGAGATATTAAAAACCCTCATTTAGGAGGATTGTGATATCATGAGATATTAAATCTGAATCCTGTTTAGTCTTATCAAACACCCGCAAAAGGGTTTTGCCATTGATAAATATTAAAACGTACATCTCCTGCTTTCACCAAAGGGACCCTATGTTTAAAAAAAATTCATTCTTTACTCATTGTTTTAGTCATGCTTCTTTTCTTTGTTGTATGCATGTATGCATATCTATAGGTTGATGATAAATATCAGTATTCTTGTGAAAACAAGGATAATCGAGTCCATGGGTGGATATGTTCGGACCCGCCAACAGGGTTTTGGATGATCACTCCTAGCAATGAGTTTCGAAATGGCGGACCTTCGAAACAAGATCTTACTTCACATACTGGCCCCATCACTCTTTCTGTAAGTATATACTATCATCTATTACACTACAAATGATGTGTTCTGAAATCTAGAAGAAATTATCTGGATTCTAAAATTTGAAATGGTGTAGAAATATTTAAAATCTGATAGGATTGTTAGTGAGAAGTAAGGGTGCTCGGTTGCGACTGGTGACTAGCAATGTGGGTGGCTGGCGACGTGAGGGGGTAGGCTACGGTGGGTGGCCAAAGAAAGGAGCCGGCGGCGGTTGAGGAATATAACAAAACATCCCCATTTGGGAGATTTTGACATGAAGAGATATCAAACTCGAACCATGTCTAACTTGGCTTCACCCAACAACCTCAAAAGATTTTTAATATCAAAAGGAAGAAGTACATGGGTGTTGCTATATCCACCCCTATTTTAGCTAAATTCATTCTTTTTATGTTAAATAGACTACTTTGCCAATTTAATATTAGTTTGCATCTAAATTTCCTCTTTTGTATTTTTAAGAATAAAATTGTCAATTTAATATAAATAGAGTGGATTTAGCCAAAATGAGAGCGAATATATAGCAACACCCATAACTAATTAGGACCAAAACATGCTGGATATGCCAAAATAGAACATTCAGTGTTTTCATAGTAAAATGTGACTTATAATGCAAAAACTGAATGTCAAGCAACTTTGTGAAATGCCAACACAGAATGCCAAAATACGGGTGTTTTACAATGTCAACACTCTAATTTAGGAGATACGACATATGAGGTCTATTTTTGGTATAAGTTCTGCTTAGTCTTAATTAGTTAGATTTTTCATATTAGAGATCACCAAACAAGTCCCAAACCTTTGTTTGAACTTAGAGCCACAAGTTTTGTCCTCTCGTTGAGTTGATTTCTTAACACAATCAGCAAACACCCCACAAGTTTTGTTGGGTTCATTTATGTTGTTGCAATGTAACAGATGTTTTTCAGCACACATTATGCTGGAGAGATGTTGGGGATGAAGTTCCGAAACGGAGAGCCGTGGAGAATGGTTTACGGCCCTGTCTTCATCTACCTAAACTCGGATTCGACTGACCAATACGGTTTGGGTGATCTTTGGGCAGATGCAAAGGAGCAGATGTTCATTGAAACCGATAACTGGCCATATGATTTCCCGCTTTCTGAAGCATTTGTTCCTGCTCAACAACGAGGCGTAGTAACTGGTCGGCTACTAGTTCGAGACAGGTAAGTCTGAAGGGTGAAACCAACTCTTTGTTAAAGTATGAAAACCAGGATCTAGAATTACAAGCTTGAGCTTTTCGCTGGGTGTTGTTTTTTGACAAAAAAAAAGAATAAAAACATATCCCACCACACAAGTGAAGTTACCATCAGTTTGCACATCATTGAAAGGCCAAGTCTATATAATTTGAAGCTTGAAACTTGTTTTTTTTGGTATTCTCAGCTACATAAACGAAAGGCTTATGACGGCTAATTCAGCTCCTGTTGGGCTTGCTTCTCCGGGCAATTCGGGATCATGGCAATATGAAAGCAAGGTTATAATATTTTTTTGTTCTAATGATTGTTTTCCAATTTGAGTATCATATGATGCTCCATTCGACTCTGAAGTAGTTTCTATCCCCCTACAAATCCCCATTTCCAGCCCGTCCTGTGTACCCCACCCTAGCCCCGTCTATAATGCTCCCTACTTTTAGTTGATGTTTGGTCAACAATTTTGAAGGGTGCAAGGGGGGGGGGGGGGGTTGGGGTAGGGTGCAAGGATAGGGGTTTTGTAAGGGGTGTTAAGAGGGGTAAGAACCACTTCGGGGTCAAACAGAACACCGTATTCAAATAAGCCTGGTGTCATAATATGACACTCAAACCCGGTGTCAAAATAACAAAGTTGTATTTTCAATTTTCATTGTTTTAAGAATGATGTAATGATTCATGTTAAGAATTCTCAGAAATTTGAGATTCTACGAGAATACTCCAAGATTACATAATTAGCACAAGTTTTCAAAGAAATTCAGTATTTTTAAAATACTCTGTAATACTCCAAAATTGCATATTGATCGATCACATCTATGCTTCTAAAATGATCCGTGTAAACTAAAAGTTCTTTTTAAGTATTATTGTAAAATTATTGATTTTATGGGGCGGTGATTATAATTATGTTGTCATTAAATACGGTATTCTTCAAGAATCTCAATTATTTTGCGTTGTACAGGGTTACCAGTTTTGGACCGAAACTGACTCCGAAGGGTATTTCTTGATAAAAAACATCATCCCAGGAAAGTATAGCTTGCATGCATGGGTCCCTGGATTTATGGGTAATTACAGATATGATTTCAACATTAATATCACACCAGGATCAAGAATCAGGCTTGGGAATCTCATATATGATCCTCCAAGAGTAGGTCCCATGCTCTGGGAGATCGGAATCCCGGATCGGGCTGCATCTGAGTTTCTCATCCCGGATCCTTATCCTATGCTTCTGAACCATTTGTACACTGAGGATACATCAGAAAAGTAAGCATGTAAAAAAACAATGTAACATGAATATGCAAACATTCAAGAATTAGGATAATATTAAGATAAGTTGTTTTTTTTCCTGACAAGTTCCGTGACAAAATTCCTTGAAACCTGCATGTTTTTTTAGAGTGTAAAAGAAACCCGTTAAGATTTTTTTAAAGTAATAAATAAATCTTCATTCTAGCTTGATTTATTTTTTTTTGTCAAATGTTATATTATTAGTTCTATGTAAAAATGATTAAGAGCATATGAACTCTGTGATTTCAGGTATAGGCAATATGGCTTGTGGGACAAGTACACTGAACTCTATCCAGATGAGGATTTGATTTTTACAATTGGAACAAGCAATTATCAGATTGATTGGTTTTTTGCACATGTCAATAGATATGTGCTACAAGGGTAAGTGCCACTTTGATTTAACTTTTACTCTATTTGGCACTTAAGTAGAGGTAATGTCTGCTTAATTACACAAACCCCCTTTATATGCGCTCTTTGGAAATTTACTGGGTATGTTACTGTTACTACTGTACATTCGTTCCCGTTTATTACTACTCTTGGTTTGACTTTCGGAATTTAGGAAACTAAAAACTGTGTGGCTATGCTTTTTGTTAAAAAGAATTGTGGAAAATGCAAGACACATCTTTTAATTAAATATGGAAAATGAGAGAAAATTGTTCTTGATGTAGTTTTTAATGTATTATTGTAGGGATGAAGGAAACAAAACATATATACCAACGACATGGACAATTGAGTTTGAGCTTGGCAATGTTGATGAGTTTGAAAACTATACCCTTTGGATTGCATTGGCATCAGCACATGAAGCTGAATTGCAGGTACTAACCATGTAACTGTATCTAGACAAGGGTAAAGATGTCATTTTCTAACCATATAACTGTACACTTAGCGTTACTAGTCATGCCTAATTTTAATGTCTAAAGACCATAACGATCCATCGTGTAACTAAACCATTGTGTTTTAAAACAAGCATAGGTCGGAGTGAATGATCCGGAGATGGCAATCCCCCACTTCACTACCGGTTTTATAGGAAAGGACAACGCGATTGCAAGACATGGCATTCACGGGTTGTATTGGCTGTTCAAGGTTGACGTGCCGGGGTCTCTACTTGGATTAGGAATCAACTCAATCTTTTTCAGGCAAGTCAACGGGTCAAGTCCTTGGAGAGGGGTAATGTACGATTACATTCGTTTCGAAGCACCATTTCAAAAAGATTAATAATCAATAAACTCTTATGCGAAGAAGTTTGCGTAAACATAACTTATGAGTGTGTACTTTCTTAGGAGATAGTCTTGCACCAAATGTATTCATGTATGTAACAATATTTGCTAATGTCACACAAGTAGGAGAGTTATACAAACTAATTATTGCTAAAGTCATCAAAACTCTTATTTTACTTTTCATCCCAACCTTCCCACACATATGGTCTAAATTAAGATGCATTGTGAATATGGACTTGAAGAGATCCATAACCAACATTATTATGGGCAAGCAACTGATTCTGAATCATTTGATGAGTCTCTTCACTCCATGGCTTTTTGCTCACATTCTTCCACCTTCCATATCCCATGTAATGCTTCCCACACCTATTGATCACCATTTCCTCTAGTCCCACTGCACTTCTCAATATATACAAAGAAAAATTCATCTCATTTTCCGTTCCCTCGAACCCGCTAAAACTCGCCTTCTTCAAGTTTGGGTGACAATGAAGAAATCCGGCCCCTTTCGCACCTCCATCTCCCGATCTTGCAAGACATGCCTTGAAAATCTGATTTTTCAAAAATAATTTAACCATCAACAATTTTAAATTTTTATTGTATATTATTACAATTAAATATTTTTTTTATCTTTTTTGTTTGTGTGTTTTTTTTACATTTTTCTAGCATCTATTATTCATTTAAGAGATTGTGAATTTGCACTTACAAGGCCATTAATTGGAGGTGACTTTGAGACAAGGTGCAACTCTTGTAGGAGAGGGCAATTTTGCAAAAACAGATGAAGTGCAAGCAGATCAGTATTAGGGGTGCAAACCAAATTCAACTCTAATCTCTTAAGATTCTTCAATTTCTCAATCCCCCCAATCCTCATTAGTCTCCTGCTCTCCTACAAAAAAAGATTAAAATGCATTTAATTAATAACAAAACCTAGATAAATAAATGAATGAAGTAGTATGACACTGGACTATTTGAAAATCATATAATGTTCCACACCCAGTCTTCTGAGTTTTGTTTAGAGTAGATTGGGATCATAAGGAGTAGAAATTACTTTGAGATTGAACGAAATAATGTCACATTTTAACACCTTTAAGCGGTGTTAAAAACCGTAATCAAATGCTCTTAGATAAATAAGATTGGAATTAGATATGTATACACTTCTTGTCTTAATTTATTACGTACCTCATAAAAGCTACATTTAGAATCCAAAGATAAGGATTCAAGGCTAGGCAGATTTTTAGTGAATCCTCCAAACACATAGGCCAAGATATCTTCACTTTCTATGGAAAGATATACACTTTGCAACCTTGGAGCATGCCCAAACACAAATCTAACCATTCTATTGTCTTGAAACTCCAACGTTATGAGATCCTTGGCATATATCTCAATCTCCTCTATGCCGCAACAATTTTCAATTATAAGATTCTCGAGTTTGAGATCCCCTGACGTGGGGCCACCGAAGCACAACTTGAAAGGCGCTTCACATTTGCCAATGAACAACGTGCGAAGGCTCAAACAAGCAGACAAAACGGACTCCAATGAACCAGGAAGAATCTTGACTCCCCTAAGCTCGAGGGTCTGAAGTGCGAAGTTACTAAATTGCCCCTTCGAGTAGTTCGGTTGTAACGTGCACATACCCAACACGAAAAAATTTGTGCTTGGTATTTTGGAAATGTGATGACAGCTAAAAGTTACATCGTTAGCCACATTGCAACAAGATAACCATAAGTGAAGTTCTTCCACTCCCAACTTTCCCAAAGAATGTACCAGGTGATCAAATTGAGTGGTCGTCACGCAGCAACTCAAGCTGATAAAATGTATTTTGGTGCCATGATAAAATTTTAAATGTCTTTGCAATGACTCAGAAATTGTCGTTTCAAAGTGTGGGACGTGAGGCACGACATGTGATAGGTCCTCACAACAAAGAGTTAAGTTGGACACATATCTATAAACCTTCTTCCATCGCTTGGACAAAACGCTTGTCGTTATGGCAAATTTTGTAGGCGTGCGAGAAAGAATTGAAGCAAGAATATCGTCCGACAGCTGGCTAATAAAGTCTTCTTTAGGTGCATCCTATTTCACAAGATTTTTTAAAAGAAAGGTTAGTGATGAGATGTTGTGTATGTGAAATTGAAGAAAAATAGAAAAGAATTATAGTGAACATACGTTAAAAGGAGAGTTCTTCATGATTTCCATTGAAATTCTAAGCAGAGCAATTGAAAGGAAGGATCATTGTACCAAAAAAAGAATATTTGCACATGTAGCAACCATTAAAACAACACTATATATTATTGAAGTCATACCAAAAAAGGATGAAAACTTTAGAAATTGAAGTAAGCAAATAAGAAAAACGAACAATTAATGTCGAGTAACAAATAATAAACTAACCCAACATAGAAATTTATTGATATGAAATTTAATCAACACCATAGGAATAAGAAACGTAAACCTAATATAAGCCCAATAAAGGGTTTTTTGAGAATTCCGAAAAAGAATAAAGAAATTTATAGAACTAGTCCCTTCCCATAATTAGTTTTTTTTTATCTTTTTATTTGGATTGTACCAAAAATTTCTTTGACCTTTTTTCAAAGAAAAGATTGTGTAAACCATATTACTCCGTATTATTCTTTTCTCGACACATATCACACGCACAAGTTCTAATTTAATATATTAATAACATACAAGAAGATAAGTATGTTACAAAAGAGTAACTAAACAAACAAATAAAATAAAAAAATAAAGTTTCAGATTAAAAAAAAATAAAGTTTCAGATTAATTAGTTAAATTATTGCAAAAAAATTCAAAAAAAGATTGCAACATAGTATTAAAAATAATTTATTAGATTCATCACGCAGAAATTTTTAAAGAATTTATTCTATCGTATCAAGATGCGATATAACTTTAATGTAATTTGATTAAAACTCATCTAATTTAACTTGAAAAAAATTACAAATATTCTATTAGAGAAGGAATATGCATTTACATGGAAAATAAATTAAATAACCAAAAACCAAAATATAAATACTTACAAACAAATCTAGAGAGAGAGAGATCTTCGGACTCTGCCGTGTGGGGAAAAGAAAAGTGCGAGACATGTATATGTATATGGTTAACTTTGGAAACTAAAAATATGCGTTCAAATCCTATTAAACATGCATTCTTGTTCCAAAAGAAATCTCCCACGAGGAGTACTATTCCAACTTAAAAAACTTTTTCCCAAAAAAAACTTAGAACCTAATTATTTTTGTAATAAATACGAGTGATAATAATTTGAATAAAATCAGCTAGTGTTTATTACTATAATTAATTAATACTCGGCATTATTGTAAAATAAGATCTCCAAACAAATTAAATATATCAAAATTTTGTTAAATTGTAACACATTACAAAAGTACTCTTTTCGTCTCATAAAAAAAATCTAGCTAGTTTGAGTTTTTTGAGAGTAATTAAAAAGAATGTTACAAAGTGAAAAAATATACGAGTATTTATTTAGAATATATTTTGATGGAAGATAAATCGTACACCACATCTCAATTTTTTAAAAAGGAAAATAGAGTATAAAATGTTTTGGAGCATTAAAAAAAGGAAAAGTAAGAGAATTTTTGGGAAACCAAGGATAACTATAACTAATTGTTCCTAATAATTATGGTCTTGTTTGGTATCAGCGTTACTATTAGCGTTAGCGTTTTGAAAATGTTATCCGACGGCAGCACTTAGCGTTTGCGTTTTCTGAATTAATCTACACCTTTAAAATTTTATCCAAAACGATAACGCTAATCGGAAAGGTTCTTCCCAAACAAGGCCGGTATATTTTCTCAAATTTAAGAATTGTAGAGAGTACATTATTGGATCAACTCTTTTGAACTGGAGCACAGTATTGCAATTACGGAGTATATACTGCTCCCGTTCCGGGGAAACAAAAAATTACACATGATATTTCAGTGTCAACTAAATTTTTTCTAATTCTCTTTAATTATTTAACAAAATATTACTTTCTTTGTCCCAAATTAATTATATATTGACTATTTTTAAGGTCAAATTTTGTTAATATTTTTCTCTAGTTTTTTTACTCGTTTAGAATAATATAGTAATGCGACTTCTTGTTTCGAAGAATTTTTTATTTAATTTTTAAATATATAAATTTTATTTTTTTGTTAAATACACCCCAACTCTCAAATAAAATTTATTGAAAATAATTTCAATAAACATGCAATTGAGACGGAAAAAATGTAATTATGTCCTCTCTTGCTTTATACTCGTAGAACTTTGAATATAATTTTAAAAGATATACTACGCACTTTTTTGCACCAATTTTGAAATAAATTATGGAAGAACTCTATAAACAGAAGTAAAAATACTCCGTAACAAAAATATCAAAAAAGTACGGAGTAACTCTTTTTGTGGCCTAAAAAAGAGTCCACACTATTGTCACTCCCCGAAGTCACCGCATGCAGCACCCAGTCGTCGGTGTTAGACCACCCTTGACTGATGGTCCACCGCCATACTCCGTCATCAAATTGCCACCATTCACACTTCTATATTACCATTAAACAAGGAAACAAGGATCGCAACACCACAAGGAAAGATCTGTTTAACCATGCAAAGGACGATTGCTATTGCCCTTTCGACATTCATATATATGCCATTGAACAATAAACCTCACACTAGGATCTCTCTAGGATTGATTGGACGGTTACTTAAAATGAGATAAATTAAACTATATTTTTAATCTGGAAAAATTCACGCCGATACCTCCCTATTTGGCAGATTATACGATATTACTCCCAAATTTGGCCGATTATACGATATGACTCCCAAATTTTCTTTTGCACACTAATAATCCAAGAAATCATCGGATTTCAAATCGCTACTCCAACCCCGCTTAGTCACAACTTCAGACTTAACTACATGCCTACATGAAAGTATTTTGGCAGACACTGCAAAAGGAAAGTGAATTGAACAATACAAATATTGCAGAATACTCCATAAAATTCTGTAAATCATACTCAAAATAATTTTCTAACTTTATATTTCTTTTATTAAAACAAAATCTGGTCCAAATTGTTTTTCACTTTTCAACATGTTTGTTAATATCCGTGAACCTAAAGTGAGCAAATTAATTTAGGGCGGAGAACGTACATTTTACACTTACATGACAATGAAGAACTGAACACACATTACTTCCACCATTCACTGCTTGAGTGGTTCAATGCAGATGAAGGATTGAAGAAGGGACTTTGCAACTAAAATTTGCTCTGATGTCCCTGAGATCATCACTTTTCCACTGTTTTCCCCTTGCTGTGGATCTTGCACTGTGACCTCAGCACCCGAGCTCTAAACCGTAAGGGTAAAAAAGGAAGTTGTCAATGCCAAGTTTCATTCATGAAAGAATAATGGTAACAAAAAGTGTTGCGACACCGGAGAGATGTGTGATAACTCTTTTAGTTTGACTTGACACAGCTTTTTTTATAACTTAGTTTTTTGCTATTTGACTTCCAAACGTACCCTTGAATGGATATGAAATGACAATAGCAAAATATATGGATAGATTACTTTTTACCTTATGAAAAATGATAAATTTACTTGAGGGCATGACGCTCTGTGGTTATTTAAGTGGTTGTACAACACTACAAAGTGAAGGAAAAAAGACCATTTAAGAGAGTAATTTAGGGGCCGTTTGGGGATGCTCTTTGATTGAAATGGCTCAAATCCGTCAATTTTTCCGCAAGGGAGAGCAGTAGTAACAACAACAGACCCAGTAAAATCCCACAAGAAGTAGGGCGTGGGGAGGATTTGTGAACGCACATCTTACCCCTACCCTACTTTGTAGCAGAGAGACTATTTCCAAGAGACTCCCGACTCAAAGACAAACATTTAAACTATGTTTGGTTTAAGGAATTTGAAAGGAAAAAAAAGAAAATAGTTTTCCTTCATTTTCCTCATCAAAATGGGAGGAATTCGGTTTTTCCTCCTCTTAGAGTACATTTTGCCTTCTCACTTTCTTTTCCTCCCATTTTTCTTTTCCTTTCCTCTCTAACCAAACAAGAAAAACGTTTTCGTCCTCATTTTCTTTTCCTTTCCCTCTCAGATTCCTTGAACCCAACACAATGTTAGTAAAATCAGTTTCAACCAAAATCCATTGATTCTCCTTATTACCTGTTTCAACATTACGAGGTTGGTACCTTCCAAGCCATATACCATTTCAAACTTGTGTGCTGGAACCACAACTTCATCAGTTCTATATGTTGCCCCATTTGCATCCACACTGCCATTGATCTGTGAGGTAGGTAGAAACCCTTTTAAAAAGTAAAGGTTCAATCGGAACTCACATTGAATCAAATGGTGAAATACATTCTTAACTTCAACTTAAATTAAATATAATGAAATATAACATTTTTGTTGAAATAGTGCTTTTTTTAAGGATGGAATATTTATATACCTGCTTGTTCAACAGCAGCTTATGAGGACCTCCAAGGTTGGGAATAAATCTGAGGTGATTCTTAGCAGCAGGGGTAGAAAGGTCAGATATGTGATACGGTTGGGGAGCCAAATTTAACTGTGTGATGTTGTGACTGCCTTTAGGCCGCATTGAAGAAGCGCTTCGATAGTGTTTGTTAGATTTTACACCCCTATAAACCAAGCTTGAGAAGAAATTCTGCCGTAGCTTAGCAGTAACTTGAAAGATAGCAGTCTTTACATTAAAATACTCCCCAACAATCTGTAGAAGAAGAAACCGCTTTATATTTCAACATCTTATGGAACCAAAACAAACACAAAGGCAAAAAACCCATCTAAGTGACAAGGATGTGTCTGATAGCGTTTACGAATAACCTCTTTTAGAAAGAGAAAAACGGCAAGGATCTTTTGACCCGAGCAAATTTTGACCTTAAATGAACTTGGGATTTTGGGGCACCTACGGTGCTCCGTTAGTAAAATTGATGGTTCCTAAGCCCCCTAAACCCCACCCTAGATCGCCGATTTGGCAGTGCCAAATCAGCGATCTAGGGTGGGGGGCAAGGAGGGGTGCTGGGGAGGAGTTCGGAGGGGGGGAGGGGGTTTAGGAAAGGGGAGCGATAGGAATCATCAATTTTTCCAACAAAGCACCGTAGACGCTGCGGGTCATAATATGACCTTGAAAACCAAGGTCAAAAGAACTGTGGAAAAAAAGATACACCAAAAAGAGTACATGTTTTTAGAGAAAAATAAATAAAACAGTACACATTCGAGTTTTTCTATAGAGAGCTAAGCCTTTCTATACATATAGGGTATTATAGAGACATGTATTCTAGACCTGTTTGACACAGTCTCCATGTCATGCTAACCTCAATATAATATAAATGTTTGAAGGCCGTTTGGGATGACTTTTGAAAAAAAAAAGATAGAAGCACTTTTTCCAAATTTATAAACATCTTGCTACTCTATTTAATTCTTATGTTGGAGAAGTGCTTTCCAATACCCATCCCAAACAGGCACCAGCAAAGTAGCTCTCTATAGAAAAATCTTACATTTCCATTATAGAATCAAATAGAGTTGCAATACCAGAGGTAAGAAGCTTTGTATGGTTAAAATCAAGATAAATTAGCAGTCTGCTAACACCTGGATCACTTTATCGTTCTCTGCTAAAACATTCTGGGGTAGTTCTGCAGATGTTAGCTGTATTTCAACACCAGATGTGGAACTTATGTCTGCCCCAACTTGTCCTTTTCGGTCACCCATGCATTTCAGCTCATCTGATGTAACTACGATCTTAGCAGTTACAGTTGCCCCCTTGCGTAAACCTGAAACTAATATGCATTCCTCCATGTATTTCTCAAAAACTCGAATGACAGCCATTTGGGCATATGGATACAACGGATCTATTTGCTGAAAAAGATTTTTCAATGGTCAATTATCACAACAATTGTGTGCAAGTAATGCTACTATGTTTGGAATGCATAGAATGCAAGGGGAAAGGGGGAAAGAAGAAGCTAAGAGAAATAGTTTTATGTTTGATTTTACCTTAGAAAATACGAATAATGATAAAACTTCATGATATCTTTTTAAAATTTTGCACTCCATACTTCCTCTGTTCTTAAATAAATAAAGCATCAGGATTTTCATGTTTGTCAATGCGCAAAGTAAACCGTTGATATCTTCAAATTATGTTTTAGCAAAAATTATAAAAATTTGATAATATGAAAGTTTATATCGAGATAAATCCAACAAGATCCCATGTAACTATATTTTTCTTTATGTATAAATCACGATAGATAATCAAATGTGAGTGCATGAATAGTACAAAACCCTCCTTTGTTGCATTTATTTAGGAATGGAGGAAGCACAAGTATATAATTATCAATCCGTCGTTATGTAATAGAAATATATAATTAAAACGAGTTTTATTACTTTGCAAAAACAAATTAGAAAGCTAGCAACTCCTTGAAATATTGTATATTCCTGGGACAGAAATACAGACACTAGAGACAACAACCTACCCAGTGAAGTATCTCACAAGTAGGGTACCCGGATGGATGTACGGATGCCAACTCAACCCCGGCTAAAACAAAGAACATGGGGTAAAAATAAGGGTAGAACAAAATACAGAAGGAATGAGTAACAAGCAGCCCCAAAGACCATTCATAAATAGAACAATAAAAGAGGTTTTTTTTCTTCTTTCTTTCCAGGTTTTTTTGTGCCTTAGCCGGAAGTCTCTTGAAAAAAGTCTCTACTCTCCAGGTCGGCTAGGGTATGCATAAGTCCACCCAAAATGTACTAGGCCACGGTATGATGCCCCTCCCCCCAGTGTGCCGAAGTATGTAATTTTCTTACTCGCCGAATAATCCTTATCATCATCACCTTAACCACAACTTGTGGTTGGTGACTTAAAATTATAGTATCACTTAACTGTATAGAATTCATTACCAGTATAGCTCATGCAAAAAACAAAATGTGTAAAGCTACAAAGCTAGATGCCCGTCTTCTAGCAACTTTCATAAGAACTAACAGGAATATCAAATGAAAATTCTAAGCCCTCATAATTGCATTTTATTTTTATGAGCATTAAAAATATAATAAGAGACAATGATATAAATATTTTCAAATGTCAAGTTCGTAAATTAAATTAACGCAAATTTAGCATATCTTTATCGGGTTTGAAACATAGCCAAAGGAGACTAATACAGAGAATATAATACATCCATATTATGCAAGAAAATTGCCGATAACCAAAAGTAGCTTGCTGATGAATGAAAATAGTTTAGCCATAAATAATCGTAAACCTCTAATGAAGATATCATGACAACACGGTATTGGGACCCATGTATCGGAGGAGAAAAACTTATAGAAGCACCGGTCTCTTTCTCCAAAGCATGGATGGTAGTGGCAGGCAAGTCTCCCACACGTCTACCTGAGTTCAGAGCACATAGCAACCTAAAAGACACCTTATGCTTAGTGTTCTCTTCATCTGGTCTAAAAACCCTGTCATCATTATTTGCGACTGTATGTCCAATTGAAAATTTTTCAAAAGCACTATCCAGAGAAGATGGCATTAACGAAGACGGGTGAGGAGAAAAGTCAACATGGTTTTCATTTCGTAGCACCGCAGAAGGCATGTTCATTGGTCTTCTTCCCATAGCACAATCTTGAAGGCATTGAGATACATGAACTAGTGCTCTCTTCACAGACAGAATTCCGCCCATGATCTATAACCATTACAAAATACTCTTAGTTGAAGAAAAAGTGGAAAGTGCCTGCCCATGGTGATTTTGAAAAGAACTTTTACAAATAACTACATTTCCTAAAAATCACTATTTTGGTGCTTTTTTATAAACAAATGTGCTTTAACTTCTTTAAGGAAATGTGCTTTTAACTCTATTGAAGCTAAAAATGCTGGTTTTTAATTCAGTAAAAAATATTTTTTCCATAAAAGCACAGCATTCTATTGTTAAAATTTGGCAACAGTGATTTATCTATTTCATACAGAGTAATTCATTACAAACGAATGGCTCTATTTCCAGAGAAACACTAGATACTCCATTACTACATTCGTGCACATATCAAGAAAAATGTACTTAGTAAATGTACATTTTTGACATTTTTGTGCCATTCACAGGAAACATCAAAGATCACAGCATGAAAAGAAATTAACAAGAACAAGTATCAATCAAACTATTACAGTGTCATTGAGATATTTTGAGAGCTAATTTCAAACAGCTAACCTGAACCAACTCCTCGTCTGTGCTGGCACAATCTGGAAGATGTTCCTTGTTCAGAACCTTAATCTTAGCTCCAGAGATCCTCCTGATAGCATCAATTGTTCTTCCTCTTTTCCCTATCAGCGCCTTGACTTGAAAAGACTGGCAAAGCAATCTGCACCCCACTGCTCCCTCCCCGTGGCATACCTTCCCTTCCAACTCCAAAATCCTCTCGAAAACCCTAAATAAACCCTCCTGCGCAGCGGTACCGCGCGCCGCCGCAGACACATCCTCGCTCGCCGTGAAATTCGTCTCAGCCGCCGACGCGTCTCCGATTACATTGATGACTCGCTCGGCGCAATTGACGAGCGGTTTCTCGAATGAGATCTGGCATCCCGTTTGGCACTCCAGGTGCTTGATTAGCGCGCCGCTGTTCCCGATGACGCCGCCGGCAGTATCGATGTGGCAGAGCAAACGGAAGTTCATCTGCGGCGAATGCGGCTGCGCCTCCACCCGCCGATGCTCTCCCGGGCGCCGAATCATTTTGAATCGACGCAGAGAGCAAAGGAGGCGGCGCAGGCAGGAGGTTGAATGTTAAAGCGCGGGGCGGTAGGGAAGGAGAATATACAGCTATTTCAAAATGAATGGAGTGTTAGCTAGATAAATTTTAAAAGCCTAAGGTTGCTCGTAAACCTTTTCAAAATTTTAATCGCTAAACTTATTCTTAAACAAACTCTAAAACTAACTGAGAGTTTCATTCAAACAAGACAAGTTCCGACTCAAAAAAAATTACATTAGTTTACTTTAGAGTAAAAAATTAAAGTTAAAATAAACTAGAAAGTCCAAAGGAGGGTGTTCCACAGGACATTAAGAAAGAATCATTAATTTTTCGAATAGAATTTCGTAGAAGTCTTAATTTGAGAGATGTCTTATATTATCACTCATGGTGGAGAAAGTATATATGGTACAACCGGATGTACGGTACATCTGGGTAGTACTTATTCTGAAGTAGAATAATACTCATTCTCGCTCAAATATAATTAGCATGGTACTCATTCTAAAATAATAAAGTACTCATTTTCACACTTTGGTTCAATATAATTGCAATATTCATCTACAAATAATGTAGTGTTCATTCTGAAACAAAACAGTACTTATTTTCAAATAACTTAGTGTTTATTTTCATGTAAAATAAAATTCATACCATAAATAATTTCTTGGTTGTACCCAAAATTGGATACAACCGGCTGTATAATATAATTTGCCCTCATGGTGAGTGTCATTATAACTTAACTGAAATTATAAACTTTTGTATTGTTTTTGAATATTTCTCTATAATTCACAGAAGAGATTCGAGTTAAATTTTTTAAATACTGGACCTCCAAAATTATGAAGTGTTTGAATTAAAGTAAAATGTGTTTAAATATTATGTTTTTTTATAGTGTTATCATAAGATATAATTTTAAAAATGCATAGAAAAAAATATCTACAAAATGAACAAATAAGGTATGAAAAAAGGAGTACGATTAAAAACTTGAAATGAGCTTGAATTTAGAAATTTCTGGTTATAAAAATAAATTAGGTTTAGGTTGTGTTACTTTGTTTTTTTATTTATTTTTTAAAAAGTGTACTCCAGATATCCGTAGATATCTAATATTCTAATATTTCATTTCATCACGATGTGATTTGTTTTAGTTTCAGATTAGAGAGAGTGTCGAAGCTAAGATACTGAATTGGAATCTTTTTTTATCTAATCAATTTGGACTAAATTCTCTAAATCAGATACTTTT